TTTTTTTTTTTTTTTAACTATTCTTAATTTTAGTCGCGAGTAACAACACCGTATAGAAGATATGTATTTATGTATGTATGTGTTAGTGCGAATATTCGTATAGTTTTGCTTTTGGTAGAGATTAGTTCAATTTAGTTCATTTTTTCTTAATCCTTTCTCTCTCTGTCTTTATTTCTCTTAATTTTTAAAACAAAATGAAAGAATAAAATAATGAGATTAATAGTGCCGTAATATATTAGAATGAAAGAGAGAAAGTGAAAGAGATGTGTGTGACATGTGTGAGTGTATGTATGTGTGTGTGTGTGTGTGTACATGACTTATCATTTAAGACAGCATTCGATGAGATTTTTTCTTTCTTTTTGTTTCGTTTTAAGATTATATAATAAACCATCGATAATACTAACAATTGTGCGAGAGCTTTGAGTTGTTTTTTTTTTTTAATATTTTATATATATATCATTTTCTTTTTTAATCATTCATATAATAATAATATAATTTTTTTTTTAGCTAGAAACACAACGCGCGATAGGATCTCTATTTGATGATAATTTATGCATTTTATTTATATAAAATACAGGATGTTATTTCAAAATTATTTACGCGTTTCCAAAAGTTTCTAAATTATTTTGCAAAATGTTAAATAATCAATTATTATTCTATATGACGGTTTTAAAATGAGTTATATGAATAATCGGTGACATTTTGTTTTGTTTCAAGCCTATAATTAAATTTGTATTAAGTATAATTTGAAACGTTAAAATAATATCAACGAGTTCTCGCGAATGGATAATTAATTGTTAAACAAATTATTTCAAAACTTTTGGGTACACTTAAAATATTTACTCTTTTTTTTTTTGGGGGGGGGCAGAGGGCTAACATCCTGCATTTTCTATGTATGTTTGTTATTTTTTCTTTTTTTTTTTGCAATAAATGATAAATATTTCAATCGTTCTATGAATTGATCAATGTGATCTAATAACTTTTCGTTGTTCTATACTTTCTCTTTCTTTCTTTCTTTCTGTTCTTGTGTTTAACATTTTAGGCGAACGATATATATATATATATATATATATTTTGTTATTGTTAATAATAATTTAAATATAAGTATTTATCTCTGATTAATAGAATTCTTCAACATAGTTGCCATGTCACGTAACGCTTGTTCTAATGTTTGAGCGTAACGTAATGAATTAGTTTGACCGTCACTGTGAAAGGCCGAAATTATAAATATAAATTTGTTCTTTTGCATGTTGTAACAGCATCCGTAACCATCTGGAACAACTGGACCATATCCAATAAAGGCATTTGTATTTTTTGTGGTCACCTGTTGAAATAACAAAAGATTATTAGTTTATTACAAATACAAAAATGATTATGTTATAATATCTTAATTTATTACGAATTGTTTTATTAATTATTTTAGTGAAAATTTTGATATTATTCAATTATTTTCAATAGATTAATAATAATATAATTAGTATAATTATATTTTTATGAAAAAGAAAAGAAAAGAAGAATGAATGAAAAATGAAAAATGAAAAATGAAAAATGAACAAAAGGAATAGAAAGTTTCTTTGAACAATTCAAATGGTAGACTTTAAATTTATGGTACCACGACCCTTCTTATTCGTTCCTTTAGAATAGAATTAGGCTTGCAACGTCACTTCCGACAACTGCCAACTCGAGACGTGGATTGTTTCCGGTAGTTCAATGGAACCGGAAAAGCCCCTAGCAATTACCTTTGTTAACCAAATTGGATCTTCAAAAGTAACGATTCAACAAAAGCGAATTCAAAAAGAAATTATTCTTCTTTTTTTTCTTTTTTTCTTTTTACGTTTTGCTTTGTACAATTTGTTCATCCGACTTTCTTTTCATTGATTTATTTAAAAAGAAGAAAAATCTTTTTCATTTGCCGCGAATCGTGGAAAGTCATATTTTTATTATGATTTTAAATCGTAAATGCTAATAATAATATTCTTCGTAGCAAATTTTTCAAGGTTTCTTCTTCTTCTTCTCTATTTCTTTGAATAATCACAAGTTTAAGACTAAGAAATCTAATATCTTAAGTTTCTTTCTGGATCTTTATAGGTGAAATCGAGAATCTTGATTAATATATCCTCGTAACAGCGTTAAATAGTATAATTTATGAATCTCATTGGCGTCTATGCATTCATTGCAATTTATTTACAAAATGTAATAATATAATATAATTATTATTATATTATTTATACAAATTTATAGAAAAAAATAATAATATTAATAATAATAATTGCTATACAATAAATATAGCAAAATACTTTATACGCTAAAGAATTTATTGTGATTATTTCAAATTAAAAACAATAATTGTAGGGTGTAAGGAAAAACAAAAATGAATAAATGGATCTTTTCGTTAGTTTCTTTTCGTAATTCAATAATTTCTTTTCTTTTTTTCTACAAAAAAATAATAACTTAATATATAATAACAACTCTAACAAAATTTCAAGGAAATCAAATATCACTTCCTTTTTTGTTCATTTTTGAATACGACTCAAAAAATGTCATCTATTGAATTCAATTACGAATCGAACAACTTTTGTAACAATCTGTAGATCGTTTAAAAGATAACAAATAATATTATTAACTAATTATATGTTATTGATTAGTATAATAGATTAGTTGGAAATAATTTTGTAAAGAAGGTAATATGAAATGCAGACGCCAATGGAAAATATTAGAACGTAGAGTAGGATGCAGATAAATGATCGATTATGATTATGACTGACCTGCGAAGTCGAGAGTGCGAAATGATTAATAATCCTGTAAGCCTCGTCCGTAAAGATGTCTGGGATTGGTTCTCCGGCCTCTTTGGCAGCATAACGGAGTCCCATCAAATGGTTGTCGATTCCTCGTCCGGTTATATTGTCGTTCATTTCTTTAGTTTGCCTTTGTACAGCCAAATCGAACAATTCCTTTATTCTGTCAGGCTAGACAAATTTATTTTCTAATTAGAATTCAAACGTAATCAAACATTAACAAACAACATCTGATTACATTACTTTTTAAAAACTATTCAATTGGTTTATAAATAGTGTTGAAATTTTGTTTTCAATATAAATATACACGCGACTTTGAATTTAATGAAATATTATAAAAATTATGAAAAATGTCAGCATTATTATTAATGTAAACTTATCAGTAAAGTCAATAATTTCTTCGTAGTATAAAATTAGAGATAAATTTTTACATTGCATAGTACTATTTTTTTTATTTTTCTTCCCCTCAAGGTTAACTCAATGGCGTAAAGTTTTATATCGAAGTTAGAATAAGGAATAATAATAAAGGAAAAAAAACGTCTATGATAATTATCTGGGTCAAATAAATAAAAAATAAAAATGAAAATAAAAATAGAAATAAAAATAAAAATAGAAATAAATATTGTTATGCATAATATGACTATGGAATATTATTATATTACTTGGTTTCGCTTAAAAAGCAAATATTATCTTTTGTTCAACAGTATATACACAATATCCAACTAAATAAGATATTGTCTGAAATAACAAAGAAATAAACGAGAAATAACAGTTCTCGAACGCGAGGGAAGAAGAAGGTTCGGAAGGAAAACAAACGGAAAAAATCCCCTTAAAAGCATCCCGCAAACACTCGATCGGGTACGAAAAGAGCGAGGTAAGATCTAATTGATTGTCTTTTCCTTTTCCTCGAATAAACAAGAGAGAAAAAACAACAAACAAAATAGACTACTATTTTTCCCTATATTCACAGTGATTCTTTCTAATTAATCCGATACTATTTTACGCGTAAACATTTGTAATAATTAAAAAAGGAGAAGAAGAAGTTAACAAAAAAAAGAATCATTGTTAGCATAGAAATGTGTTGTTAAATTTCAGTTACACTGTAAATGGTGAACTGAACTCTTTTAGAGCCTTCGTCTTGAATGTTGTTTAGTTGATTTGTCGATTGGCTTTCTGGATCTCCTTGACACATGGCCTTGGCCCAAGCTAATGCTTCTGGACTGGCTGCTCTTATAACGTCCACTCTTCCTTGTGCAAATCGACGAATACCAGCACTTTCATAAGTTGCCACTAATCTACCATGCAATCTAAACAATTATTATAGAAGATTTTTGTAAGATTTTCTAATGAATTTTCTTCCTTTTTCTTTTCTCATCATCAATTAATTACAAAGAAAATATTTCAAATAATTAAATGAGTTAATATATAAATGAATTTAATTTCTATAATATATTACCTGAAGTATGTTAATTGTAATGCCAATTGTATGTAAACGTCTGGACTTATTTTGCAAGATTTAACAAATTCCTTTGAATAATCCATAAAATTCATAACGCACAAATCCAAATCTTCGACGAGTCTAAACAATTGTAATAGACGAATTAATTTCTTTGTTTCTTCGTTCACAGAGTTGATTAACAAAAAAAAAAAACAAATTATAAAATAAATGACTCACGAATCGAAATTACTCATGGCTTCTCTGATATCGTTCAAACTTGATTCCGTAAGTATCCATTCGAGTTTTTCTGGAGCTGGCAAATGAGATGGTACTAAATTTTCTTCTATAGGTGGCATAGAATCGATCTTTTGTGTTATATCCTCGATTGCGTTTAAAATAGCCGGTGCTTCGCCAGCTGAATGTTCATAACAGGCACCCCATAAACCGTCCTTTCAAATTAATAACAACAACAACAAAAACCCATAAAAATTAATATCAACGGGATGTCTTTAATAATATTAATAATTATAAAAAATTAAACGATATTGAGATGATGATTATTACTTTTCCAAGGATCAATTGAACGGTTTGATCGAACCAACGATTGGCAGCAAAATGTCGAGAACCACCACCATGAAGAACGTGATGTAAAACATTGGCTAAATCACGATCACCTATCCATCGATCATTCTTTCTATATGGATTGTTAAACGTTCCTGGTAAAACGTCATCGTCAATGCAAACGATACACATGCATCTTTCCAACAATTCTATATTGTGACGATTACGTTCGTCTGTAAGTGAGAAAATAAATTAAACAAAAAAATCATTATCGATCGCGTGAGCATTTAAATACAACATTTACGTATTTATTTATGAAAAAAAGTAATACGAGATATTCAACATTACTTTTCATCAATTCCTCTCTTGCTTTAGCCCAAATCGGTCTTTTGCCAGTTGTTAAAATTCCGACAGGTGGTGTAGTAGGACTTGCTTTAGTTTCCATGATTTTTAATATCTGTTGTATTAATTCGCTTTCAGTTATTCGTCCTCGATCCGACGCTCTAACAGGAACACTATAAAACTACAACAAAAGAAGAAAAGAAATGAATTAATCATACCAACAAATGTGTGATCCATCCAAAATGAAATGAAAATTTGTATTACTTGATTATGATGTGCGATAATAATATGATCACCGGAAGTAGCCCTGTCAAAAATGATTTGTTCGTCAACGTTTATACCAGGTCGTCGATAAATTCGAAACATTTGATAATGCTGAGCCATGCATAATGATTGCATAGATTTTCCGTCCTTCGATTTAACTTTATCGATTTCCAATTCGGATCTATCAAAGAAATAAAAATACCGTACGTTTATATAAACAATTGGATAAAAAGATATAAATATTTTGTTTTTTTTTTTTTTTTAAATTACATTTCGTGCCAATCAGGTATACAAGAAAGAATAGTAGGGTGTGAGTTCAAAAAAAAAGGGGAGAAGGGATGAGAGTTCATTTTAGCAAAGGCAGAGAATGAAAAGGGACTGTGATCCCTTTTCTACGCGTTCCTGTCATCTTTATGCTCCTATTCTATGGGATCTTAGAAACCGGATTTCCTTCATTCCTTCCTTCTTTTTTTAACAAGATAAAAAAATAAAAAAGAAAGAAAAAAAAGAAAGATAAAGAGAATAAAGACGTGGCCCTTCTCTCTAAATTGATTTCAGTGTGGCTTCTCTTTTTGTCCTCAACTAAATCAGTAGCACGAACGATTCCACGAAGGCATTCATCCTTTAGGTGGTTCATCCTTCCTTCAGTCTTCTTCCTTGAAGATTCGAGTAAGCGACTACGAACATGAAGAGGACGAGGAGGAAGAGGTGGAGGAGGAAGAGGTGGAGGAGGACTTAGCTTAGCTCAGCTTCAACCTTCCCTTTCCATTTTCACAAAGGATAGAAAGTATCTTTTAGGTACTTGTATTCCAAAGGACGTGTTCTCGCATCGGTGGAATTGAAATAAGTTCAATTCTCAAGACTTCAATTGTTCAAAATGAAGGCATCGAACGAACGAACACGAACGAACGATTTTCTTTCTTGATCGTTGAGATAAAGGACTGTTTGAAGGAATAGAATATTTGATTAGGAGAAAATCAATGACTTAAAGAATCTATAGTTGCACATACACACACACACACACACATGCTAGGATTAAAAATATTAAATAATCGAAGAAACTTTTTGTACAGTGTTTGTAAGAGAATAGGAATCTTTGTTTTTGTTTAATTTTCTTTTTCCTTTTTTTCTATTTACCTGTCCAGCTGTTCCTGATAATTTAATAGCTCCGTTATAAATCTTCCAAGGAATATTGCTGCATCTTGTTGATTGGTAAATTGTTTTCCTTCTAATACTATACCAGGATTACTATTTATTGGTAAAGCCAATGGAACAGATAGGTACATGTCGTGCAACCACCAATCGGTAGCCTGAAAGTATTATATTCGTTTATTAATTACACATATAATTATTATTTACTTGTAACCTTTTTCCCTCTTTGGAATTTTATTTAATGCAATAGCTTAACAAGATATTTTCGCGAGGGCTTTCACAGGAGGTTTCACAGGAGGGTGTATTAGGGAATTAAAGGACCATGCAATTTCGTCGTTTATAATCCGCATTTAATGACGCGTCCAAAGCTTCGATCATCCTTCACGTTTTTTTATTTTTACGATGGACAAACAATCTATTTAATTAGAAATTCTTTTTATCGTTATATATAAGAAGAGATTAGAAAATTTATTAAAGTGTATATTTTATTTATATAGAAATTTCTTATCAGGATGATATTACTTTGATCATAAAATAATATCATTAAAATGTAATTTAATTTCATGGAAAGTTCATAATTATTTTATTATTATCTATTGCTTGATAATATATAAATAAAAAAAATAAAACTGTATCTATGTGTGTGTGTGTGTGTGACAATAATTAAATAATTATTTAAATTATTTTTGTTTCGCGCGTATTGGAAATAGCTCGGTCGGTAACATGGGAATCCAAGAAAACTGTATTTATTTTTAGAATAAGTTCATAGAATAAAAAAAAGAAATGATTTCCTCTGTGGAATCCGCGTATAGACTTCCGCAGTAACGCGGACGTTTTATAATTGTAATAACTTGACTGTATGATATGCACGTGTTAGGGTAAGCTTTTTTTCCAAACTATTCTAGGTCACATTGCAAGCGAACTCTCGACGTTTCTATACAAGTTTCACGAAGTCGTCTCCATATCGATATAACGGATTAGGTTTGCTTTCAAATGGTCTATAGATAGCGAGCAGGAGCTACATTCAATGCGTTCTTGAAAGCCGTTTCTTCCTATGTATTCGTAATATTATCGCTTGAAGTCTTTACCCGATTTAAATTTCCCTCCCTCGTCTGTGATTCGTCCGTTTTATATTTCTATTCTATAAATTACAATTATTTTCAATTTTAATTTATTATTATTTATTTACTTTAAAATTCATTTATTCAATCATTATTTTATTTCCTCCGTTATAATGATAACTCGATTTATATAAATGTGTTAAGAAATTTTGTAGATTATCTCGTTTGATTATTCGGATATTACGATTGATAAATAATAAAGTAACATTTTTACTGTCCTTTAGAGTACATATTTCTTTTCAGTTGATCGTCCGTTATCGCGATATGAATTTTTCATAGTTTAATATCATTTTTCAGTGGCAGGAAAGAATATCGAGCAGCGATCAAAGTGATAAACGTGCGAAGAATAATCGAGGAAAGTAGTTCGATGCTTTACTGAAATTTCCTAGTAAGCATCTTACAATTCATTTGAGATTACATATTTCTTTTATTATTTTATTTTCTCAACTTTAAAATTATTTGCCTTTTTTTAATGAAAAATCTTTGAACGAAATTAACCGAATTTAGGATCATCGAGAAAATTGATTGTATTATTGGGGCAAATAATTATAAAGATTGTTATTGAAAGAAATGTCAATGAACAAAATGGTGCAGCGGAAGAAAAGGTTATTTTATTATATTCTTTTGTTTCTTTTCGTTTGTAATGTTGAATAAGTAGTGCGTTTATGTAAAATTTCCAATTACGCAAATAACGTGCGAACTGTACGCTCGTTGTTCTTGCATTTTAACGCAATGAGAAACGCAAATCTCGTTCTCGAAATGATGGGTACTTCGGTAACACGAAATGAAACTAAACGAAAAGAAAAACAAGAAGAAGAGGAGCAAGAAACGTAACACGATTGGTCAATATTTTACCACTCGACTCTACCAGATTTTATTTAAGATGTACCAGCAACTCCTACCTAAAGACGGTTAATCTTTTGTCCTTATTTTTTTACCACTTTGTTTCTAGTGTCGAATTGCATCATGTAGTTAGGCGCACGTGCATCTGCACTTCGCAACCTCCGCACACGAGATCTTCACTTAACTTACTTTTTTTCTTTTCTTTTTAAAAAGACCTCATCTGTGTATTTTACTCGCGTGCGCGCGTATGAAATTACTCCGAGATCGAGAAGATACCTCTCTATGTATGTTAGTATTTATATAAACATATGTAAGCAAACAAATACGATAATCATCGTTTCGCACGCATAACTACTAGCAAACTCATACAGTTTCATTTTCTTTTTTTTTTTTCTTTTCTTTTCTTTCAGTCATGTTCTTTTCACTTTCATCACGTACCTACAACGAAAATCGCCGTTAATGTTCCGAGAANTACGTTAATAACAATTTTACGATTTAATGCGTGTTATTGGATAATTTCGTTTGTAGAACGTTTGCAAATTTTTCTTTTTTTTTTTTCTTTTCTTTTCTTTCAGTCATGTTCTTTTCACTTTCATCACGTACCTACAACGAAAATCGCCGTTAATGTTCCGAGAACGAGATCAATCAATCGTTTGAAATTTCTTGCCATATTTTACCAATAAATTTCTGCATTAACGATCGAGTAAGTTTTGAATTTTTTCTTTTTTCTTTTTTCTCATCCTCTTTAATTTTATATTTATATTCGAACACAGTTGGTAATTTTATTATTAATAATAAATATGATTATATTTATATAATTTTTCTTCTCTCGTGGAAATTACGAGAACACATGATGTAAGAAAGTTATTCTAAATATGGTGTATTAAGATTACATGCATATTCCTTTTGGGCCAAGGATAGCAGTCTGCCATTTTTTATATTTACCGAAAAAAATGAGATTGATCGTATCAAAAAATTGCATCGTATAGGAGAAACCTGGTGGTAACGGTGTGTTGCACAGGTAAATTATGCGGTGGGAGTTTGAATGCATTTTCGAACGTTCGCCTGTCAAGCGGACTAGTTTGAAGCTTTCAATATTCATTAGGCAAGATGATTGCGTGCTAAATCATAAACCCTATTTCTCTCTCATGCGGGATCGAATAAAGATTATAATCAATACAAATTTATAATCTTTCCAATTTTTATCACGGAAGAATTCTATTCGCCTAATTATGTTTTTTATGTTGCAAAAGAAAAAAAAAGAAAAAGATGCAACTATATATTCTCTTTTATTATTTATATTTTTCATTTAATATTTGTGGTAATTATTTATGTTATTTTCAAGGATATAAAATGGGATATTAATAAGATCCAAGAAGATGTTGTTGGAAATGATGTAGATAATTAAAACAATACTAAAGCAGTATAAGTAATCAGCCGGTAATAGTAGGTGTAGCAGCAGCAGCAGCAGCAGCAGCCATAGAAGCAGGTGTTCACATAATAAGTTACTTCATGGGAGATGATAGAGTATCAATAAATTACTTGGCATGCCGATCTATCCTCCTGTAGATATTACAAAACTGATGAGCGTCTAGTTTTCCAAAGATTTAATGATCATACTATTGGTTTCATGCAACTAACTTGATGTATCATTATTAGACAAGTCTCGTGGATGTAGTTTATAGAAATTATTTCAATTAATCTCGACGCGTGTATCGCATTTTTTTTCTTTCTTTCTTCCTTTCTTTTTTGTTGTGATCTATAGAATGGGTCAAAAGTTCTTACAGATAATTCTCACAAATGAATTACTTCCTACGGTAACTTTTTTCCTAAGTTAACTTTGTCTCGCGTAAATCGTAAAACCGTAAGCTTGACTTTTTAAATTAAAATAAATTTTAAAAAAAGAAACAAACAAAGTTTTAACGAAGAGGATTTTATTTTGTTAAATTATATTTGAAAAAACTTTTGATCAATCCTGTAGAGATAAATTAGACAAATCATTTATGATAATATAACGAGGAGTGTTACACATATTACATAAAAAAAAATGAAATACAATCATTTAAGAAACGTTTTATTAAACGATCTTTAAAATTGTCGCGATTTATGCATTCCCATTTTGTCTTTTTTATTATTTTTCTATGGTTTAGATTTCTTAACGGTAATCATATCGGTACAAAACTGGTCGGTGGATTTTACTTTTAGACTGTTTAGAGTCAGTAATAGTACAGTAATAATATGTATACTACTACTCCAGTAAGTGACGGCAATTTAACGATCCTAAGTTGAAATTACCGAATGACTCGTCTATTCGTTTCGTCTCGTATCGTATCGTCGTGTTATTTCGCGATCAGATTTCTTAGGAAACTCTCATGGCGCAATAAATATGTACATCTAAATGCGTTCGAACGTTTAAACGATGAGTCTTGCGTGTCGAAAGCGTCAGGCGTATTTTTTATGGGGGAAAAAAAGTTAAAATCGTATTGACGAAAGTAAATTAACAAAAATTACGACTAATAAGATTTTCTTTTTCGATTTGTATTATTATTGTGGAGTTATTAAAGTCAGAGCGTTGGATTATTATATTAAAATTATTATAATAATTAACTTCGAGACAAACCCAAAGGATCGAATTCGAAGAAATGAGTTACACACGCGAAAGAAAARAAAAAAAAAAAAGAAAAATTTGCAAACGTTCTACAAACGAAATTATCCAATAACACGCATTAAATCGTAAAATTGTTATTAACGTATTAGATAGATAATCCGATAGAAATTAGACATTACCAAACTCTCCGGAGAATCGTTTTCTCTCTCGGAGTTTGGTAGAGTCTTCAGATAATTGAACAATTAGCAAGAGCGAAGGAATCGAGTAGAGGCTAGGGCCCGTGGAACGAGAGACATCAACTAAGCCAGTTCGAAGTTTCCTTGGTGTCACGTTACGGAGATTTCAACAGAAGCCTGAACACGATGCCGTTGCAAGTTTCCATCTACTACAACATTCCCTGTTTCTCTCACTCTCATTTATCTGTCTGTCCTTCTGTCTGTTCCTATTTGAACCTAGTAGTCATCCCTCGACGTATTTATCCCTTTCTCTCGTACTCTCAGTATTTCTATTTCCCTTTCTCTCTCTTGCTCTCTCTCGCCCCCTTTTCCCTCTCCCTCTCCCTCTCCCTCTCCCTCTCTCTTCGTCA